GGAGATGCTTCTGACTTGCTACACCGACGCCAGCTTCAACTCTGTGAAGGCGGATGGCACCAGCATTGGAGGCTATGTGTGCCTGTTTGGAGGTGGTGCAGTGAGCTGGCGCAGCAAGAAGCAGAACGAGGTGGGGCAGTCCTCGTGTGAGATAGAGTACATGGCCCTGCATCATGGGGCAAAGGAGGTGGTGTGGCTGAGGCGTTTGTTGGAGGAGATCGGAGTGTGCGAGAGGGAGCCGACTGTAATTTTCTGTGACAATGAGTCAGCGGTGAAGCTAGCGAAGAATGCTTGTCTTCATGGGCTGACCAAACACATCAGGCCTAAGTGGCACTGGGTGAGGAGGCTCCTGGACAAGGAGGTGCGGCTAGAGATTGTGAAGACCCATCAGCAGGCAGCTGACATTCTCACCAAGCGCCTGGCTGAATCTGAGCATTGGAAGGGCATGAAGCTTGCTGGCATGAGTGTGCATTGAGGGTGCATGCTTGAGCTATGGCATGTGGGATTATGGTTGGCAGCCAGAGGGGGAGTTTGTTGTGTGATGCAATCATATGCATTCACGTCTGTCTGCCTCCCATCATATGTTCGTGCGTTGCATGCGTGGTGTGAGCGTGTGCAATAATTTGTGTTTGATGTGGTTTGATTTTTCTGAGTGTGTGTGAATGTTATTTGGCTTGAGCAGATATCTGAAGTGACTCCTCTGCTTAAGAGCTTTCCGACGAACCAAGTATCGCTTCAATCGGAGCACGAACAAGAAAGTTACGAACGTTGGAGTTCGTATGCTTTTGATATTTGGTTGTGGTGACTATGGGAAGTTGTGGGGTTGACTCAATATGGGGTACAGACTTTTGGGGGTTGGGAAATTCGTCAACATCACTGTAGATGCTGCCAAGTGGTTGGGAGAAACCAAACCAGGTTGGCAAGTGTGGCCAAGTTGGGTTAAGGTGGATGGCATGGGTTGGGAAAGTGACAAAAGTGAAAGTGGGGTTGCCTATGGAGAGGGGAATTGTGTGGCATGGGGTTTCCTTGGTTGGGGACTGTCTTGGGACCTTCCCTCTCGTCCTCCTCATCCCATCCCACCTGGTTTATTGCTACTCTAACTCTCTTGTGTAGTAATTGTGAACTTGTGTGAGAACTTTGTGATTGAGTTAATATTCTATGGCAGCATACCCTCTAGTGCGCCGAAATTGATAACTCAAGAAATACATCATCGTTTTGTATGATTCAACTTGGAAATTGTAGCCACGGACTAGCGCTACAACATATCTAAGGTTGGTGAAGTTTTAACAGTGCACCTTTTGTTGACGGCGTTTCTTGTGAAGTCGACGTTTCTGTCCAGAATTCTAAGCCAAAGATTTTGAGAATTTTAGCCACCTAATCTTCGTAGACTCCATCCTTAGTCTCTAATACGAGGGAGACCAGAGACAAGGACACGGGAGGCCATGCATCGCAGACTATGCAGGGAGGGGTGACCAAGGCGGTGGTGCCGAAGGAGAGTTTGGTGGGACAGGAGGCGACACGAGCAGGGGGCAGACTCAGGACCAGACCGAGACGCTGCAACAAACACCTGACCCGACGCATCTACCTGACCAGACGCAGTAACCGAAGGAGACTCGGTCGTCAGTGTGTACAGGCTCGACCCCGGCTGACGGGTAAACGTGGCCAATTGTTGGCCCGTCCGAGCACACGTGCAGTGGGTCACTCGCTGACTCGTAGGAGTGAACCGGTCAACCCCTCCATCCTGCAGGTCAGCACCACTCACCAAGTTCGTAGAGAACGAGGGGAGGTAAAGACCTGACAGGGAGCCAGACGGGGCCGCCGGACACGGTAGGACAGTGGAGTGGTGAGCAAGGGCAGGACCCCCAGAGGGGTCTGCCAGGGAGACTGCAACCGGCCGACTAAGCGGCGTGAGGGTGGTGCGGTCTTGAAAGAAGGAGCGGGAAGCACCCGAGTCAAGGGTGAAGGTGTGCAAAAACCGCGGCAGGCGCAGCACCTGAGAGAGCAGACTCACCAGCACCTGGAGCAGTTGACTCATTAGCACCTATAGCCGCAGCCTCACTGACACCTGGAGCAGGAGACGCACGAGCACCTAGAGCAGCAGCCTCACCAGCACCTAGAGCTGCAGACTGGACACTGGGGTCAGGCGGCACACACAGGTGACAGGCTCCCTCGGCAGTAGTAGGCAATGCATATATTGCAGTGAGAAAAACATCTTAGTCAAGAGCAAAGATATCTACCCTCTGTCTAAGCAGCTCCACCCAGTCGGGGAGCTCAGCGGCGTCGCCAAACTCTGTACGCCAAGCGTCGCTCAGACGGGCGAAGCAGCGGGACTCTGTGTGACCAGGCGTCCCGCAAGGCCGACTAGTCTGAACACCTGTGCGAATAACGTACGGGCAGCGAGCAGTACTCAGCGACCCTCTATTCTGAGCGTACCACTCACAAAGCTGCTGGGGTGAACGAGTCTCGTACGGACGACGTTGCTGCTACACCGGGCCACTACAAGAAGCTCCCAAACTACCCACTCGAGGACGACTCCTACTACTGCCACTCCGACAACCCCAACTGGCATACCACTCACGAAGCTGTTGGGGCATGAGGGACTCACGCGGACGACGCTGGAGCTGCATCTGGCCACGCCAGGGGTAGCAGTAGCAGTAGAAAGAGCAGTAGCAGCAAGAGCAGCAGTAACAGCAGTACGGGCAAGGCAGTGCTCACCAGTGGCGAGAAGGGCAGGCGTAAGACGGCGGCAACGGCAAGGCCGCTACCACTGCAGGGCGAGAGCTTCGCGGCAGCTGCAGGGGCGGCTGGTCCAGGGGCCAGGGGCGGCTGCTGTAGGGGCGACTGCTCCAGGGGCCAGGGGTGGCTGCTCCAAGGGCCAGGGGCGGCTGCTGTAGGGGCGGCTGCTCCAGAGGCCAGGGGCGGGTGCTCCAGAGGCCAGGGGCGACTGCTGCAAGGGCGGCTGCTCCAGGGTTCAGGGGCGGCTGCTTCAGGGGGGAGGGCAGGGGTGGCCGTCCGAAGGTCGGGCGCGGGTTAGGGCAGGGCGCTGCGGCGGGTAAGGGCGACGCCGCGCGAGTCCCGCAGGGGCATTGCGACGAGAGGGGGCAACGCCCCAGTCCCGTTGGGGCGTCGCGACGCTCACGAGCCGTGCCTTGCGGGTCCCGCAAGGGCATCGCGACGAGGCAGGGGCTACACCCGGGTGGCGACGTAGCGGGGCCGCGACTGGCGATGGGGCGGGGCCGCTACGGGCAACTGGGTGGGGCTGCGAAGGCGCCGCGAAGGGGCCGCTAAGGGGCCGCGAAGGGGCCGCGAAGGGGCCGCGAAGGGGCCGCTAAGGGGCCGTGAAGGGGCCGCGAAGGGGCCGCGAAGGGGCCTCTAAGGGGCCGCGAAGGGGCCGGTAAGGGGCCGTGAAGGGGCCGCGAAGGGGCCGCTAAGGGGCCACGAAGGGGGTCGCTAAGGGGCCACAGGAGCAGGGCAGGCCGCTAAGGGGCCGCGAAAGCATAGGGCAGGTCAGAGCGCGAAGCGCGCTTCTGGCAGGTTAGGAAAAAAAAATGGTGGGCCCTTAGGAAGAAACGGTCCCACTAGGGAACCCGCCCTATACCATGTGAAGAAATAGGAATGAATGAACTAGTAATGAGATGGGTACAAGTAAGAAAACCTAGTAGTGTTGTACCCCATATAGTCTACCCTACTACAGCCTACACAGACTCTGTCATATATGTTTGACACCCAAAACTGAAGCCCCTAACCTTCCACCTTTTTATAACCTGAACAAATTGGGCTGCGGGCATGAGGTGTAAGGACGACGTAGTTAGGCATCGGTTCATTGGGCCCCGCAAGATTGTGATGTGGTAACCACGTTTTAGGACCAACGGGAGAAGGCACCCAGCATGTTTGTTGGGTGACGTGCCTTCAACGGCCGTGGAGTCCATTCTGTGTTTTTCTTATGTATGCTAAACAAGAGCACATACTGTTCATTTAAGTAATATACATGCCCTTATTATAAGAACCGGGTCTTAATTCTTGGCGGGATTCTTATAACCCCGGGTCCGGGTCTTTTATCCGGAGTACTACGATAGTTACTTCCGATTGAGTTACACTAGCACGCAGCTCCTGAGTCCAATAAATCAACCAAAATATGGGGTTGCGGTAATTCAATCAGGATATTACTACGTACTTCACATGGTAATCTCCTCCAGGTTGAAAAATCAGGGTGATACAGAATTTACCAGAAATGTTGTACCTCACTTTTTGGTTGATGGGACACAAATGATTACTCGCAAGTTAGGATCCCCAGAATGAGCCTCTACACAAGGCTTCTTATTATACCTTTTATACTCGTCTTGATTTGCCTTTGCATGTCCATGTGGAGAGTCTGCACCGGAGCCTCTGTCGGAGGAAACTCGGAGGAGTGAGGGGTGGCGCGCTGTCGCCCCTCGACACAAGGGACGCAGGTAGGGCCAGGCCCCGGAGGAAGGGGAGGGAGAGACCGAGGGAGACTAGAGACAAGGACACGGGAGGCCAGGCCTCGGAGACGAGGCAAGGAGGGGTGACCAAGGCGGTGGCGCCAAAGGAGAGTCTGGTGGGACAGCAGACGACACGAGCAGGGAGCAGACTCAGGACCAGACCTGGACGCCGCAGCAAACACCTGACTCGACGCAGCTACCTTGGCAGACTCAGCAGTAGGACGAGACTCAGAAGTAAGGGTGTACAGGCTCGACCCTGGCCGACGGGTGAACGTGGCCAAGTGTCGGCCTGTCCGAGCACACGAGCAGTGGGTCACCCGCTGACTCGCAGGAGTGAATTGGTCAACCCCTCGATCCTGTTTGTCGCTCCACTCACCAAGTTCGTAGAGAACGAGGGGAGGTAGAGACCAGAAGGGGTGCGAGAGGGGGCTGCCGGGCACGGAAGGATAGTGGAGAAGCTAGCAAGGACAGCACCCCCAGAGGGGTCTGCCAGGGAGACTGCAACCGGGCGACTAAGCGCGAAAGAGTGGTGCGGTCTCATAAGAAGGAGCGGGACGCACCCGAGTCTAGGGTGAAGGTGTGGAAGGCTTGAGCCAACGTAGTACCTGAGAGAGTAGACTCACCAGCACCTAGGGCGGCAGACGCACTGGCACCTGGGGCAGTAGACGCACTAGTACCTAGAGCAGCAGCCTCACCAGCACCTAGAGCAGCAGCCTCAATGCCCGGGTCAGGCGGTACACACAGGCAACAGTCACCCACAACACCAGTATCAACAGCATACATGGCAGCAAGGATAGCATCAAAGTCAAGATCGAAGATAGCAACCCCGGCCTTAGCCAGATCTCCCCAGCAAGGGATCTTTGACGCCTTAGGGATCTGGCGACGCCACGCGTCCGTGAGGCGACCAAAGCAGCGCTGGGTGGAGTGCAGGCCTCTGCACTACTCACCAGCGCGGTCGCCGGTACGGAGGACGTAAGAGCAGGGACCAAAACCCCCACCGCGCTGACGCACAGTGTACCACTCACGAAGCTACTGAGGGGACACGGTCACACCACTCCGCATCTGCTGCTGGCGTTGACCACCACCGGCGCCACTCCTCTGCGCAGAGTCGCGAATCGCTCCACCACCGCCACCTCCACCGCCGCCGCCACCTCCGCCGCCTCCGCCGCCTCCTCCACCTCCGCCTCCTCCACTACATCCGCCGCCTCCGCTCCCTCTGCCACCTCCACCGCCTCCGCCGCCTCCACTGCTGCCGCCGCCGGTGCCACCCGCAGCACCACTCCCACCTCCACCCCCAACACCACTCCCACCTCCACCCCCACTCCCTCCGCTGCCTCCACTACCACCTCCACTGCCCCCTCCAGCTCCTCCAGCGCCCTTTCCCCCCTTGCCCTTGCCGGTGCGGCGACTCTCGCTCGGGGCAGACGCAGCGCCGACCGACTCGAAACCAACGAGGTCGGCCGCAGCAGCAGAGGCAACAGAGGGCAAGAGGGGGGAGGGAGAAGACCCCTCAAAGACGGGGGTGCGAGGGTCACCACGAGAAGCTCCTACAGCGACTATGCTCTTCTCTATCGCTAGGAGGGCCTTCTCAAGGAGGTCAACGGTGAGAGTGGTGGGGCAAACAGAGAGGATGTGGTCCGTGACTACCCGAAGAGAGTCAGGGAGCCGGGTGACTATGTAGTAGAGGGTGATATACATGGGGGGGGGGGGGGGGGTTCTTGGCGCAGAACTCAGCAGGAAGCGCAGCGCGGTAGCGAGTGTCACTAGTACGGAGGTGCGTAATGAGGTCAGCGACAGTGGGAAAGGCAGCAAGGTCAGGAAAGAGGTACGGTAGCATGAGGCGGCTCAGTGCAGCAGTGGCAGGGGAAGAGTAGCGTGCAAATACAGCGTCGTACAAGGTCTGAGCACTCTTGTACTAGCTAAAGTGTCCACGCTTAGTGGTCAGTAAGTGGCGGCGCACAGCAAGGCGAGCAGCAGCATCGCGCATGGCCCACTGTGAGCGAACAGTGGCGTCAGCATCAGCAGCACGGGCAGGGGAGGCACCAGAAGTGAGGTCAAACATGGAGAGGCCGTCTGCCCTATCGCACTGCAGGAAAAGGTGTAGATCATCTACCCAGACCTCAAAGTCCACAGCCCTACCGTCAACGTCAAAGGTGAGAACGCTAGGGGAGGCCATAACAGCAGTAGGCAGGTAGTGAGTACAGTAGGGTAGGGCAGTGCAATGGCAGAGACTGTGCTCTTACCAGGCAAGAGGGGCGGTCGGGCGGCTCGGCGGCTCGGCGGTTGGGCCGCTTGGCTGCTCGGCGGCTCGGCGGTCGGGTGGCTCGTCTGCTCGGTGCTGGGCGGCTCGGCTGCTAGGCGGCTCGGCGGTCGGGCTGCTCAGCTGGCCGGCGGTTCGGCTGCTCGGCGGTGCGGACGCTGGGCGGCTGGGCCGCAGGCGGCGGCGAGGCCGCAAGTGGCGGCGGGGCGGCAGGTGGCGACGGGGTTGCAGGTGGCGGCGGGGCCGCAGGTGGCGACGGGGCCGTAGGTGGCGGTGGGGCCGCAGGTGTTCTTGGGGCCGCAGGTGGCGACGGGGCCGCAGGTGGCGACGGGGCCGCAAAGGGGCCGTAAGGGGCCAGACGTGGCCGTAAAGGGGGCTAGACGGGGCCGCGGAGGGGCCTAGGCGGTGCCGCAAAGGGGCCGTAAGGGGCTAGACGGGGCTGCGGAGGGGGGGGGGGGGGCCTAGGTGGGGCCGCGGAGGGGCCGTAAGGGGCCTAGGCGAGGCCCTAAGGGGCCGTAAGGGGCCAGACGGGGCCTAGGCGGGGCCGCGGAGGGGCCGTTAGGGGCCTAGGCAAGGCCACAAAGGGGCCGTAAGGGGCCTAGGCGGGGCCGTAAGGGGCACGACGGGGCCGCGGAGGGGCCTAGGCGGGGCCGCGACGGGGCCGTAAGGGGCCTAGGCGAGGTCGCGATGGGGCCGTAAGGGGCCTAAGCGGGGCCGTATGGGGCCAGACGGGGCCGTAAGGGGCCGTAAGAGCGGCGCAAGGGGCAGTAGAAGGCGGCGCGAAGGGGCCGTAATGTTCGATACCATGACGAGAAGTGAGAATGGATGAATGAACTATGAAACAGTTGGGTACAAGTACTAACCCTAATTGGGTTGTACCCCTTATGGGCTACCCCACTATAGCCTACACAAATGTATAAGCTATAATGTTTTGACAAGGCCGGGGCCGCAAGCGGCGGCGACGGGGCCGCTGGAGGCGGCGACGGGGCCGCTGGCGGCGACGACGGGGCCGCTGGCGGTGGCGACGGGGCCGATAGGAGCGGCAACGAGGCCGCTAGGGTCGGCGACGGGGCCGCTGGCGGCGGCGACGGGGCCAATAGGAGCGGCGACGGGGCCGCTAGGGTCGGCGACGGGGCCGCTGGCGGCGTCGACGGGGCCGATAGGGGCGGCGACGGGGCCGATAGGAGCGGCAACGGGGCCGCTAGGGTCGGCGACGGGGCCGCTGGCGGCGTCGACGGGGCCGATAGGGGCGGCGACGGGGCCGTGAAGGGGCCGCGAGGGGCCTGGAAGGGCGGCGACGGGCCGCAAAAGGGGCGGCGATGGGGCCGCGAAGGGGCCGCGAGGGGCCTGGAAGGGCGGCAACGGGGCCGCGAATGGGCCGCGAGGGGCCTAGAAGGGCGGCAACGGGGCCGCTAAGAGTAGTGCGAGGGGCACGCCACGGGGCGTGCCAAACACAGAGTAGCAGCGGAAGTAGTTAGGTGGGACCACAGGCTAGGAGCGTAGATGGTCTGATAGCATGTGAAGAAATGAGCGAGAATGAAGAAGAGGGGGTTCACTAGCAAGCAGTTGAGTACATATAGGAAACCCTAATATGGGTTGTACTCACTATTGACTACTCCACTGCAGGCTAGACAAACATAACATTCTGACACGTGCTGGCGACAGACGCGGCGCGCCGAGCAACGGCAGGTTGCACGCGACGGCGGGCTGCGCACGGCGGTGAGCTGCGCGGGCTCGACGCGAAATGCGCGGCAGTGCAGCAGTGGCGCGCGCTAAAAATCAGTGACGCGCGCGCTAAAAAATAGTGACGCACGCGCTAACAGCCGAGGCGCGCGCGAAAAAAAGATGACGCGTGCTGCAGTCCAGGCGCGCGCGGGCAGTAGGCAAGGCAGGTAGGCGATAGGTAGGGTAACACAGTTAGGTGGGCCCGATTCTTAGGTCCTAGAGACCTCCTGCTCTAGTTACCATGTTAAGACTAAGGCAAAGGGGAAGGCTCAACTATCGAGAAGTTTGGTACAAAAGTGAAACCTAAGGGGTTGTACCCCATAGTGAGTACCCCGCTAAAGCCTACCTATAGTATAACATATAAACATATGTTTGACAATGCCTTCTTCATTTTGTAGCTCGACAAAATTTGATGCCTTGCTGCGCCGAAAAAAACGCATTTTGTCGTTTGCTTCTTTGCATCAAATTTGTCCATATCCATCGGTTCGGGGAACGTGGGGGTGACGATCGCTCCGTGCCAAATGTACGGTTTGGCCCGTAACGTTGTGTTTCGGGTTGACCACAAGTCAAAGTGTCGTATCGTGCAGCAGCACGCACGATGTCGCGGTAACTACTGTAGTTCGCTCCGATGATTTGTCGGCGAATCTCCATTTTTAGCCCTTCTGTGTACCCTTGGATTTTTTTGCCTTAGGTCGGTCAGTGATGCGGTTGAATAGTAGCTCCTGTCAGAACATATAGCTTACTTGTTTCTGTAGGCTATAGTGGGGTATTCCATAAGAGGTACAACCCAATTAGGGTTTCCCATTTGTACTCACTTCATTCATAGTCATTTCATTCTCCTTCACTTATTCTCATGGTATCGAGCAGGTTCCCCTGTGGGAACTGTTCGTAGGGCCCACCACTGCTACCTCGTAACTTTTTTTTTTTCTGCCCGGAGCGCGCTCCGAGCCCTAGTACTTCTTTTTTTTCGATCTGCCCTAGCGCTCTGACGGCCGCCCGCCCTAGCGCCCGAGCGCCGCCGCCCTAGCGTCCTGACGGCCGCCCGCCCTAGTGCCCTTACGGCCGCCCGCCCTAGCGCCCGCGTGGTGGTGCGTTTGGTCCCTGCCCCTACGTTCTTCGCACCGGCGACCGTGTGGGGGAGAGGTGTGGAGGCACCCACACAGCCCGCCGCTGCTTTGGCTGCCTGACCGACGCCTGGCGTCAGCAGTTTCCGGAGGCCGCTGAGATCCCCCGCTGGGGGGAGCTGTCTAGGGCTGGTGTAGCCATTTATGATCTTGACTTTGATGCTATTCTTTCTGCTATGTATGCTGTGACTGGTAGTGATGAGGATGACTGTTACCGGTGTTTCCCGCCCGACCCGGGCATTGGTACTGCTGCGTCAGGTGCTAGTGAGGCTGCTGCTCTAGGTGCCAGTGCGTCTGTGCTCTCAGGTACTGGTGAGTCTGCCCTCTCAGGTACTGTGTCAACTTCGGCCTCTCACACCTTCACCCTTGACTCTGGAGCGTCTCGCTCCTTCTTTCGGGACCGCACCACTCTCACGCTGCTGAGTCGGCCGGTTGCGGTGTCCCTGGCTGACCCCTCTGGGGGGCCTGTCCTGTCTCGCTTCTCCACTGTCCTTCCGTGTCCGGCGGCCCCCTCTGGCACCCTGTCTGGTCTCTACCTCCCCTCGTTCTCGACGAACCTGGTGAGTGGTGCTGACCTACAGGATGCGGGTGTCCACCAGTTCACTCCTGCTTGTTAGCGAGTGACCCACTCCACGGAGGCTAGCATGGGACGCCACCTGGCTACGTTTACACGTCGGCCAGGGTCGAGCCTGTACACACTGACCACTGCTTCTCCTCCAGGTGCTGAGTCTGGTAGGGTCCCTTCATCTGGTCAGGTGTTTGCCGCAGCGTCCAGGTCTGGTCCTGAGTCTGCCCCCTGTTCGTGTCGTCGTCTGTCTCACGAGACCCTCCTCTGGCACCACCGCCTTGGCCACCCCTCTCTGCTTCGGCTCAGAGGCATGGCCTCCCGTCTTCTTGTGTCTGGTCTCCCCCGGTCTCTACCTCCCCTTCCTCAGGGCCCTGGCCCTGCCTGTGTCCCCTGTGTCGAGGGGCGCCAGCGTGCTGCCCCTCACTCCTCCCAGTTTCCTCCGACAGAGGCCCCGTTGCAGACGCTTCACATGGACGTATGGGGCCCAGCCCGCGTCCGTGGACAGGGTCAGGAGCGCTACTTCCTGCTCGTTGTTGACGACTACTCGCGTTACACCACAGTCTTCCCCTTGCGCAGCAAGGGTGACGTTACTGAGGTGCTGATCGACTGGATCCGCGCAGCTCGTCTTCAGCTCAGGCAGAGCTTTGGCTCCGACTTTCCTGTGTTGCGTCTGCACTCTGACAGAGGCGGAGAGTTCTCCTCTGGCCTTCTGCGTGCCTACTGTCGGGCGCGAGGCATCCGCCAGTCCTTCACGCTTCCGGACTCCCCGCAGCAAAATGGGATTGCTGAGCGCCGCATTGGCATGGTCATGGACGTCGCCCGTACGTCCATGATGCATGCGGCTGCCCCCCATTTTCTGTGGTCGTTTGCGGTCACGTACGCAGCGCATCAGATCAACCTCCACCCCAGGGTCTCCAGGCCGGAGACCTCCCCAGCCCTGCTGTGGACGGGGAAGGTTGGCGATGCGTCGGCGTTCCGGGTCTGGGGATCTCGGGCGTTTGTCCGCGACTTGTCTGCGGACAAGCTGTCCCCTCGCGCTGCTCCCTGCGTCTTCCTGGGGTTTCCCCCCGACGCCCCTGGGTGGCAGTTCTACCACCCCACCTCTCGACGTGTTCTGTCCTCCCAGGACGTCACGTTCGACGAGTCGGTACCCTACTACCGCCTCTTCCCCTACCGCACTCCGTCCCTCCCCCCACCCCCGCTCTTCTTGGTACCAGGTCCCCCCCCGGTAGACCCCCTCCCCCCTCAAGGTCCTGCCCCTTCAGGTGTGTCCGAGGTAGACGCGGTCGAGCCTGTCAAGGTCACTGGTGACTCTGGTGCTGCTGCGGGAGCTGAGCCTGGGGGTGCGGAGTCTGGGGGTGCTGAGCCTGGAGGTGCCGAGCCTGGGGGTGCTGAGCCTGGGGGTGCTGTGCCTGGGGGTGCTGAGCATGGGGGTGCTGAGCCTGGGGGTGCTGAGCCTGGGGGTGCTGAGCCTGGGGGTGCTGAGCCTGGGGGTGCTG